TTTGCCCTGTTTATGGAAAATACCTGCTGTTCTTGGATCCCTTGTGTCCTCTGTGGCTTGGGGTCGATGATCCGGAAGGAGCACACTCTCTCTGCCGGTGTGGATCTGGCCAACTAGAATTAAATGACATAATCTTGGAATCACTAGAAGTCAGTCATGATCTCACAGTTCCCTCTTCCTGTCACAGAACAGCTAGCTTCATGTTTTGGCCAAATTCAGAGACGAGTCACTGCATTTGCCAATCCAAATTCAGTAGACATTTTTCAATGTGCACGTTTATTTCTCATTCTAATTTTATTGTTGTTAAATGTCATCTTCTGCTATGAGTTTAATTGCAATTTCAGCTACAAGAAAGTGAATCCTTAGTTTATGTTGCTTAAAGAATATTGAAGCACAAATACAGATGTATTTTATGATTTTTTTAAAAATTTGAATCATCAATTATTTTTATTAGTAGAATCTGCAACTTGCTTAATTCTTACAAATAGACTTGAAAGACACTTGGTTGTAGGGAGAAGATAGCATCAGATTAAGAATCAGAAATCCTGATGCCAGGCAAAATTCTGCAATTTAGTACATAACCATGAGTAAGGAAAATGGTGCCTTCTCTAACAAACTCACAGGATTATTTTAAAAATGAGATGAAATTCTTTCAAAAATATACTGAAACTGTAAACAATGAGTCAAATATAATACATTCCTATTTATTTTTTTCCTGAAAAAAGAAATAATTTTTCCCCATAGCACATTTATTTCTTTCAGTTTTAACTGACTTGTGAGTATATTTGAGAATTAGAAATAGATTTTTATAAATGGTTTTGAAGTGGCAGGAATCCTTCAAATGCTACAAGCAAATGCTAAAGCAAATGGAAGAAATGACAAGATAAAAGAGCTAAACAGAAGATTTCAAAGAGCAGCTCAAGAAGACCAAAGTCAATTATTATAATGAAATGTACAAAGACATGGAGTTGGAAAGCCAAAAGTGAAGAACATGCTTTGCATTTCTCAAGCTGAAAGAGCTGAAGAGGAAATTTAAGCCTTGCGTTGCAATATTAAAAGATTTTTATGGACTAAATATTGAATGATGCAGGAAACATCAAAAGAAGATGGAAGGAATACACAGAGTCACTGTACCAAAATGAATTGGTCAATGTTCATCCATTTCAGGACCTGGCATATGATCAATAACCTATGGTATTGAAGGAAGAAGTTGAAGCTGCACTGAGGGAAGTGACGAAAAACAAGACTCCAGGAATTGATGGGATCCCATTGAGATGTTTCAATAAACAGATGCTGCACTAGAGGCACTCACTTGGCTATGCCAGAAGATTTGGAAGACAGCTACCTGGACAATTGACTGGAAGAGGTCCATATTTGTACCCATTCCAAAGAAAGGTGATCCCATGGAATGCGGAAATTATCAAACATTATCATTAATATTGCATGCAAGTAAAATCTTACTGAAGATAATTAAAAAATGGTTGCAGCAGTATATTGACAGAAATGCAAGCTGGATTCAGAAGAGGTTGTGGAACGAGGGATATTATTGCTGATGTCTGATGGATCTTGGCTCAAAGCAAAGAATACCAGAAAGATGTTTACTTGTGTTTTGTTGACTATGCAAAAGCATTCAATTGTGTGGATCATAACAAATTATGGATAACATTGAGAAGAATGGGAATTCCAGAACACTTTATTGTACCCATGAGGAACCCATACATAGACCAGGAGGCTGTCATTCAAACAGAACAAAGAGACAACTGCATGGTTTAAAATCAAGAAGGCAGCATGCCAGGGTTGCATCCTTTCCCCATACTTATTCAATCTGTATGCTGAGCAAATAATCCAAGAAGCTGGACTATATGAAGAAGAACATGGCATCAGGATTGGAGGAAGACTCATTAACAACCTACATTATGCAGATGACACAACTTTGCTTGCTGAAAGAGGATGACTTGAAACACTGAAGAAGATTGAAGACTGCACTCTGCAGTATGGATTGGACCTCAATATAAAGAAAACAAAAATCCTCACAACTGGACCAATAAGCAGCATCATGTGAAATGGAGAAAAGATTGAAGTTGTCAAAGACCTCATATTACTTGGTTCTACAATCAACACCAATGGAAGAAACAGTCAAGATATCAGAGGTTGTATAGCCTTGGGAAAATCTGCTGCAAAGGACCTCTTTCAAGTGCTGAAGAGCAAAGATGTTTCCTTGAAGACTAAGGTGCACTTGACACAAACCATGGTATTTTCAATCCACTCATATTCATGTGAGAGCTGGACAATGAAAAAGGAAAACCAAAGAATAGTCTATGCTTTTTTGAGTTGTGGTGTTGACGAAGAATGCTGAAAATACCATAGACTATTAAAAGAACTAACAATTCTGTCTGGACGAAGTGCAGCCAGAATGCTCCTTGGAAGCAAGAATGGCCAAACTCTGTCTCACCTACTTTGGTCATGTTGTAAGAAGGGACCATTCCCTGGAGGAGGATATCATGCTTTGCAAAGTGGAGGTACAACAAAAAAGGGGAAGGCCCTCAATGAGATGGATTGACATGGTGGCTGCAATGATGGGCTCAGGTACAGCAAGGATCTTGGAGCTAGCACAGGACCAGGCAATGTTTCATTCTGCTGTACATGAGGTTGCTATGAGTCAGAGATGACTCAACAGCACCTAACAACAACAGGAAACTTGTTAACCACACTTGACATAGCTAATGGTTGTTGTTGTTGTTGTTATGTGCCGTCGAGTTGGACCCGACTCATAGCGACCCCTCCTTGGGTTTCTGAGGCAGTATCACTATGGAAATAGATGGCCCAACCTTCCTTCTGAGGAGTGGCTGGTGGGTTTGAACTGCCAGCTTTGTGTGCTTTAGCCACTATGCTACCAGAGATTGATTTAAAACCAAAAAATCAAACTCACTGCCTTTGAGTTGGATCTGACTCATAGCAGCCCTTCCTTGGGTTTCTGAGGCGGTATCACTACAGAAATAAATTGCCCAAACTTTCTTCCAAGGAGGGCTGGTGGGTTTGAACCATCAGCCTTCTGGTTAGCAGTCAAATAGGATTTTTTAAAAAATAATTGCTGTGTTTTTCTTTCAGGCACTTTTGTCCCACAGTGGTATGAAACCCAGTGTTTCTAGTGGAGTCACTTTCTCCATCCATGGTCAGATAGTTACAGGCTGTCACTGTTTGAAGACACACATGTACTTTAGATATTTATTAAATACATATATTGAATTCAGTCCCCTCTTTTGCATATGAAAAGAATAACAAACCACTGGATTAAGATAAGCAACAAAAATCCTATTTCTACCCATTTTTACATGTGCCTCTTCCCTTCAATGGTACAGTGATTAAGCACTCAGCTGCTAATAGAAAAGTGGGAGGTTAGAACCCACCATTGCTCCACTGGAGAAGGATGTGACAGTCTGCTTCCATAAGGATTTACAGCCCTGAGAGCCCTAGAAGCCTAAGTTCTACTCTGCCTTATAGGGTTCCTATGAGTTGGAATCGACTCATTGGCACACAAAAACATTCTTTTTAGTGCACTCATGCTGCTGCCAGGAAAATCCTCCACAGTAAGCCCCTTTGGGTCCTGGGAGCCAAGGTAGGTGTGTCTTAGCTCTGTTTCTAGTGGCAGCCTCTAGAACATCTTCAATGTGGAATCTTTTATCTGGAAAATATTTGTAAGCTCAAGATACCCCCACCTGTGCCTTTTCAACCTGCCCCAGTAGATTCATTTAGATTTCCACTGAATTGAGATGTTTAAAATGATAGAACTAATGGGTTCTACTAATTTTCTACTATCAAAAAGTAGGAATTGTTAAATCTTTATAGCACTACTATGAGTTAAGCTAGGGGAATATTATTTAAAATTAGTACACATGATTGGACTTGTACAAAAGCTGGGAAAATATTTCAAATTCACCCAGTGTCAGGATCAGAATGAGATTTCAAGTGCTTAATTTGTTGTTCTCTCTTTAATTCATTTAGTCGTCAAGCAAGCCTCTACCGAATTGTTCTGTCATATGTAATAGAAAATAAATCTATTTAGGGAAAATGTAATGGGAGAAAGATTAATTGGGGGCAGTTTCCTTTAAAATGATAGAACAGCAGATATCACAGATTCAAAATTGTTCATGGCTCTTCAGAGAGCCACCAGGTGACCACATTGCAATGTGTCACTATTATGGTAAGGCTCAGGCAGGGAAGGTGTCCCTTCTAAGACAAAGTAGTGTGACCAGAGTGGAACATGTTGTTGATTTCTTAAGCTAGCCCATAATTACTCAGCCAGCTTCTGACTTGGTGTTATCTGTTGTTCAATTCCAAAGTAGAAATATGTACAAAGAGACAGGCAATCTTTGAAATATGCCTGAGGTATGAAACATCAAGGTGTTTTGATTTGTTTTGTTTTATTATAAGTTTAGGCAGAATGTGCACACTTAATCTCTTCTGGAAGCTTTTCCAAGGATTCCATCTGTAAAACAGGCATGCTTCTAAGTACACACATGCCTGTACACTCACAGTCATGGGAGTGGTCCTTCAAGTCAGAATACTTCACCACCACTGCCACCAGTAACATAACTGAGTGTTCCAAAATCTGTAACAAATTGCTCTGTGCTGCTTTGAGTTCAGAGGGATTTGGCTGCCAGAAAGTATGTGAGGATGTGTCCTGCCAGACCTAGGGAGTCCCTAAAAAGCAATTGTACATTCCTTGTAACTGATGCTCACAGACCCAGAACAGTCAAAAGTCAATTAATAACATGTCACAAGGATGCAGCTCTCCACTGGGCTATATTCACATCGGCAGAAATAGCAATGGCATTTCATCCTCTATTGGCCAGACCCTAGTCTCCCTCTGTGAGATAAGAATGACCAGCCTGCACCCTTTTGTCATAGCAGTGCTGATGAAAGTGAAATGACAACATGCTGCTAATGACTTTGTATGTGTGCTTCTTCCTTGTCCGTCTTGTCACCCAAAACCAACATAGCTTTAGCCCGACGTGCCATTTAGACCGGAGTCTTGGACTGATCTGTGATGAATGTCCTGTCGGGTACATAGGACCACGCTGTGAGAGGTAAGCATGCACTGCACTGTCTTTCAAAATGATTTCTCCCTGGGGAGTTATAAACCCAGAGGCACCATCATCCTCTGCACTACCCCAGAAAAGCCATACACTCAGTGAGGTGAAATAAAGTTTCTCACCACACTTGTCAAACAAATGCATTATGTTTTTATAGTTTATTTCTTCTCTAGAAATTGCTCTATAAATCTCTATTCATTCGAAGACTATTTGATTAATGTTTTAATCTTAAAGGTTAAGCATTAACCTATAATATTTTTTGAAAGTGTTGCTCAAGTGGAAAGTCATACACTTTAAGATTTATCTTACTGTCTACATTGGCACCATTTATTTTTCATAATTAGCTTTTTCTCCTTAAAATGTGTCTTAAACATATAGTTCATAGTTCAGCAAGGGGTCCATAATTTACCTTAAATGTATTTGAAAACAGAAACAAATTGCAATTTATTATCATGATTTATATTCTCTTCTAATTACTCCTAAACCAATATATTCTTGTTGATTTTACTAGATTACCTTGCAGCAGAACCATGGATATTGGTTTATGTAATTTCTGTGTTTATTTTTCCTCCTAAAATGTTCTAAAGAAACGGTTCTTCTCTGTATTCAGCACCAGTATAAAAATGGGATTAACTTCCCCCTTCACATCATTGCCAAACATGACAAGGTCTGCTTTAGCACTGAAAATAGTCCCCTTTGCCACTGTCACTGCAGGAGCGGAAGAAATGACCTGCTTCCACCCATCATCACCAAGGCTAACCCCGCAGAGGGCTATTTCTGCCTAGCCATTCCTGTGCTCTTGGCAGACGTTACCTGTTTCAACCAGTATGCATAAAGTCAATGAAGCAGGAGCCAATGCCCCAGAGAGACTTTAGCTAGCAGCCAGTCGTCTGCGAACCAAGTGCCAATGACAGTTCCTAATAGCAACAAGCACTGTTTGTGAGAATGGCAGCATCTGTAAATTAATATAGAAGAGCAGAACTAGAATAAGTAGGATTTATTTGCAATTAAACACATGGAGACACTGGAGGTCCTTACCTGTGTTTTAAAAAACAGAGAGAGAGACGTGTGTATGTGTGTGTGTGTGTGTGTGTTACTTTCTGTAATGGGAGAGCATATAATTGCCAAGGCAGATTTATATCAAATGCCAAATACCTCAGCTCAATACAGGCAACCTTTTTTTTTTTTTTTTTTCCACAAGTAGGAAATGGCAACCGCTGTGTCATACAAGGCCTTTAAATCTGCTTATCTAGGTGTGTGTAGTCTCTAATATGTTTAATTGTTTTGCCCTGCATTTTCTATACATGATAGACAACAGTTTCTGAACCACTTATCATCCATTATCTTACATTTTATTAAACAAACATCTGTTTAGCAACTCCCATGCGGTGGTCACAGAACTGGATGCTGGATGTGAGCACACACATCATGTCCTCCTAGCCCTCAACCAGCTTTGTCTAAAGCGGGTGAAAATGAGTACATGGGTTCTGGAAAAAAACCTTAATCTGAATAATAAAAATCAACAAGTAAAGAAATATCTAACAGAAGCATGATTTGCTGTCTAAATTCTTTATTAATCTGATTAAAAAGAAGATGGAAACTTGTGCATATAGTTTAGCAAGTGGCATAGCTTATCTCCAAGTCAGGTTTTTCAATAAAATATTATCTCAAACTAATATTATATGGAAGATATGGTGGTATATTTGGCTAGCCAGTATTTGGATTAGGGGTTTCAGGAATCTTTAGGCTTCATCGTTTCTCTCTGTTTATATGAATCAAAAAGTCCATTAGATGGATCAAAAATATTAGGAGGAACATGTTTTGAGATCTGTATGTTGAAGAGGAAAGGAGGAAGAATGTTCAAGGGAAGGAGGATAAATTGGTTCCATTGAAAATCTTGTCATCAAAACTACCATGTGAATGGTTTATTAATTAGTTTATGTGCCTCACTGACAGAATCAGCATTTAAAAACTAAGGCAGGCAAATGTTACAACTGACTAGTATGTAAAACAAAACATTACTGTGTAAAAAAAAAAAAAAAAGCAGGGGGCAAAAAAAGCCTAAGGCAGGGCTTTCTAAAATCTAAATATTCCTGGAATAACAAATTCTGTGACCACGTAAATTTGAGAAGTACGTGTTGGCATATTGAAAGTTCTGGCATGCCCTGTAATAATGCAATACATTCCTTTTGTTGAACTTAGCCTTTCCTAACCATGTATGACCATAAATATCATATTTCTCTTACACAGCACACATGTGGGTCTGAGTACAGCTCAGGTGGGAGGTGCTAAACCTTGGAAAGGTAATCTCAGCCCACTTATTTTCCTCCTCTGGTTGGAATCAAGGTTCTAACAAACTTACCTAATACTTAAAAAGGTGTATGGGTGTGTTAGTGTGTGTGCCATGACAGGACATAGGGTCGGGTTGACTAGTCCTGAGTCATTTATCCAAGTATGTTTCTGCTTACACTTTTCCTTTTTCTGTCCTGCTAATAACTTCTCCCAGAAGGAAGAGTGAGCAATCTATTTCCGTAGTGATACCACCTCGGAAACCCAAGGAAGGGTCACTATGAGTCGGATTCGACTCAACAGCAGTAAGTTTGGTTTGGGATAGTTAATAACTTCTTTCAGACCTAACAACTCTCTCCACTACTTTCATACCACCCTGAGTAACACAGGAATCATTTGGCTTCTTTCTCTCCACACTAGGACTCTACAACCTATACTATCCTCATTCTTGTATTAGATTGCTAGTACTGGCTGACAAATTACCATAAACTGGGAGGTTTAAACAACACTTTTCTCTTTCCAGTTCTGGAGAGTGAAAGTCCAAAGAGAAAATGGAAGCAAGATGTCAGCAGAGCCAGGGTCCTTCTGTAGGTCCTTCTTTGACTCTTCCTAGCTTCTGCTGGTCGCCAGCAATCCTTGGTGTTCTTTCACTAGCCATTGCATCACTCCAATTTCTGCCTCCATCTTGAAATGACCACCTTCCCTATTGCATGTGTCTGTGTAAAACACAGATTTTAGAATATAAGCTACAGATTTTACTCAAAAGTTCCTAAAAAAGACAATGGATCAAATGAGATAAAAATCCCATCAATATTATTGCTTTCTTATCTTCTCCTTTACTCTCTCATTTTCTTTTGCATTCTCTCTCTGTTCTTCTACTGTTGTTCCTAAGTTATCAATGGCAACTACCATATAACTACCTGTATTATATTATTATAAATGGGGAGTCTCATTTATACTTAAGATGTCACTTTTCAAAAAATTACAATTTGACTTGAAAAAAGTGAACAAATGTAGAGAAGAACCTTGACTTTGTTTTGTGAAAAGGTCCATGTCTGACAAGGAATCCAATAAGCCATCTATTTAAACTGTCTTTATTCTGCCTTGCACATGGAAATGAGAGGGCTTGAGATTTCACCTTGTAAGTTGTTTTTAGTAGAGTGAAAAATATGAGAAAGTAGAAAGGTCCAAAGGATTGTGATTTATTATACTAATTTTAGTTGATCAGACCACAAAACCCTATTATTATGAGTAATGAAAAGAATTGCGTGATTAGCCATATTGTATTCAGTGACTCTAGAATTAGTTTTTAATTCCAAATAAAATTTTTGTATGTTTGTAAGAATACTATTTTATACAAATAAATGCATGCACACACAAGAACCAGGAATAAAACCTGGATGTAGAGAATGGTCCCACTTCTAGTGAAATGACATATGAATTATATATCACATATATTCACAAGTTTTCATTACATGTCCTACAACAAAAATAAAAGACTCCTGCTTCTTCAGTTATTCTATTTGACTATAGTTATGTTCTCCCTGAATTGAAGGTTGTTTTTTTTTTTTTTTTAATATGAGAGAATTTTGAACTATGCTAATTGATACGTATTTTAAGAAAAATCCCCATACCTTGTTGTATAATGCCATTTCTCCTGAGGACAGTGAGTCATTTTGATAAAAGTGAGCTGAGAATAATGGGATTTCGTTGGCTATAATAATGATCACTTTATATCCTCATTCCAGAGGAGCAAAGTCTCTCTCCTAGTGGTAAACAAAATGAGATGTGAATATACATGTATGTGATCATCAGTCCTGAATATCAAATATGACAAGAAGAATCGGGTTAAAATTCAAAAGAATATTCATATTATCTCTATTGAATACCACTCCAGAAGGTATTGTAGGGGAATGTTATGCATTAAAATGTGAGTTCATATTTTTTGATAGAGAATTAATAAGCAATTATATTTGTGAGTGGCATTATCCTTCCAAGCCATATTTATACAAATGCCTTCATAATGTTGTAAAATGTTTCGTGAATATATTTAAAACTAGTACTATCCTCTGTTTAAAAAAATATGATAAAAGCATATATCTATGAGGTAATTGTGGCATGAATAAATTTTCTAAAATCTTAGAATAATCCGTTTATATCTCCAAAATTAATGATGTGACACATAACTGTGATGTTATGAAAATTTCTCACAAATAATGTACTATACTTAAAGCATTTCTTTTTTAAATGGAAGAGAACCTGTCTCAAAACAAAAACCTCCATACCTGTGACTGTGAGAACAAAAGTAGCTTACAACTTGAGGAAATTTTATTCTCCCACATTGTTTTTGTTCCCCTTCAATTATGAACATTGCTGCAAAAGGCTTTTTATTCTGATAATATGGTAGAGATAACAGAGCTAGCTCAATGATAATACCGTAGATGTCCTTTTGGTTTTCTGTTGGAAAGTGTGGCTTAAAATTAAGCCTGAACAAATGTAACTGAAAGAGAAGACAGAGCAAAATAATGAAGAGGCACTACCTATAAGGGGAGGAAACATGCAATCAAGATGTGTTGGTAATTACTGGAATGTGAAAGTTGGAAACAAAGAAGAATCATTGGCAGTAGGAAAATATGGCACTGGTGATAGAAATGATGCCAGAAATTGCATGATAGAATTTGCAAGACCAATGACTTATTCATTGCAAATATCTTTTTTCAACAACATAAATGGTGGCTATACATGTGTACCTCACCAGATGGAATACACAGGAATCAGATTGACTATATTTATGGAAAGTGGTGATAGAAAAGCTCAACTATTAATGACAAGAAGACCAGGAGCTGACTGTGAAAGAGACCAATTGCTCATGCAAGTTCAAGTTGAAGCTGAAGAACATTAAAACTAGTCCATGAGAGACAAAATATGATATTAATTATATCTTACCTGAATTTAGAGACCATCTGGAGAATAACTTTAATGCATTAAACAGCAATGACCAAAAACCAGAAAATATGTGAGATGGCATCATGAGTATCAGACAGGAAGAAAGCAAATGGTCATTAAAAAGACAGGAAAGGAAGAAAAGACCAAAATGCATGTTAGAAGAGACTCTGAAATTTGCTCTTGAAAGGAAAGTAGCCAAAGCAAATGGAACAAATGATAAGTAAAAGAGTTGAACAGAAGATTTCAAAGGGCAGCTTGAGAAGACAAAACAAAGTACTATAGTAAAGTGTGAAAAGACCTGGAGTCAGAAAACCATAAAGGGAAGAACACACTCAGCATTTCTCAAATCGAAAAAACTGAAGAAAAAATTCAAGCCTTGAGTTGCAATATTGAAGGCTTCTATGGGCAGAAAGCATCAAAGGGATATGGAAGGAATACACAGAATCACTGTACCAAAAAGAATTGATCAATGTTCAACTATTTCAGGAGGTAGCATATGATCAAGAATGAATGCTATTGAAAGAAGAAGTCCAAACGGCAGTAAAAAAAAAAAAAAAAAAAAAAGGGGAAAACAAGGCTTCAGGAATTGACAGAATTCTCATTGAGATGTTTCAACAAACAGATGCATTGCTGGAAGTGCATACTCGTCCATGCCAAGGAATTTGGAAGACGGTTACAAGGCCAACTGACTGGAAGAGGTCCATATTTGTGCCAATTCTGAAGAAAGGTGATCCAACAAAATGTGGAAGTTATTGAGCAATATCATTAATATCACATGCAAGTAAAATTTTGCTGAACATAATTCAAAAACAGTTACAGCAGTATATTGACAGAGAACTCCCAGAAGTTCTGGATTCAAAAGAGGAAATGGAATTAGGAATATCATTGCTGATGTCAGATGGATCTTGGCTGAAAGTAAAAAATACCAGAAAGATGTTTACTCGTGTATCTGTAAAAGCATTTCATTGTGTGGATCATAGCAAATAATAGATAACATTGCAAAGAATGGAAATCCCAGAACACATAATTGTGCTCATGAGGAAACTGTACATGGAACAAAAGGCTGACATTTGAACAGAACAAGGGGATACTGCATGGCTTAAAATCAGGAAGAGTGCACGTCAGAGTTATATCTTTTCACCCTATTTATTCAATCTGTATGGTGAGCAAATAATCTGAGAAGCTGGACTATATGAAGAACAATGCAGCGTCAGGATTTGAGGAAGACTCATTAACAATCTATGATATTCAGATAATATAACCTTGCTTGCTGAAAGTGAAGATGACTTGATGCAATTACTGATGAAGTTCAAAGACTATAGTCTTCAGTATGAATTGCATCTCAAACATAAAGAAAATAAAAATCCTCACAAGTGGACCAATAAGCAACATCATGATAAACTGAAAAAAAGGTTGACATTTTCAACTATTTCAAATTACTTGGATCCACAATCAACACTCAGGGAAGTAGCAGTCAAGAAATCAGATGTCATATTGCACTGGGCAAATCTGCTGCAGAAGACCTCTCTAAAGCATTAAGAAGCAAAGATGTCACTTTGAGGACTAAGATGTGCTAACCCAAGCTATGGTATTTTCAGTTGCCTCATATGCATGTGAAGAAAGCTGGGCAATGAATAAGGAAGACCTAAGAAGAGTTGATGCCTTTGAATTATGGCGTTGGCAAAGAATACTGAAAATACCATGGAATGCCAAAAGAACGAACAAATCTATCTTGGAGGTAGTACAGCCAGGAAGCTCCTTGGAAGCAAGAATGGCCAGACTTGGTCTCACCTACTTGGGTCATGTTTTCAGAAGGGACCATTATCTGGAGAAAGACATCATGCTTGGTAAAGTAAAGGGTCAACAACAAAGGAGAAGCCCCTCAACAACATCGATTGACACAGTAGGTGCAACGATGGGCTCAGGTATAGTGAGGATTGTGAGGATGGCACAGGACCGGGCAGGGTTTTGTTCTGTTGTCCACAGGGTTGCTATGAGTCAGAGTTGACTCAACAGCACCTAACAACAACATAAGGGGAGGAGCTCTATTGGTATAGTTGTTAAAGCATATGGCTGCTAACCAAATGGTTGGCTGTTTGAACCCACAATCCACTCTGTGGGAGAAAGATGAGGCAGTGTGCTTCTGTATATATTTACAGCCATGGAAACCCTATGGGGAAGTTCTACTCTGTCCTATAGGGTCACTATGAGTCCAGATCAATTGATGGCAGTGGGTTTGGATGTTTTTGTACTTATAAGGGTGGATCTGCACATTTATCACTTTGAGTGTCATTGTAAAGCATAACATTGAATCAGGGAAAATTTGAGACTGTAATTTTTAAAATCTTCTCTGCCATACCTTAAAAAGGCATTACTTAAAATTTTAAAAATAAAATTTTTATTTTTCAATATTATACAAAATAGTATTTTGTCATTAAGAGGGGAAAAAAAAGACTAGGGGTTTGCCAATATGGGTTGTGAGCAAAATGGTACAATTAAACATCATCTGATGACATGTTACATCAGTATGCACACATACCTTCTCCAGCTGCCCATTAGTAAAGACTCTTCAATTAAAATCAGCCTCTGACCAAATATACAATTACATACAAAACTATTTTAAATACATAGATACCCACAGACATATTTTGGTGAGTACCCAAATACCAATGAGGCAATTTTGAGTCACAATTTTCTGTTCAGTAAATTCTGAATTCTCACTACTGAATTTCCTTGTGAGCCTGTTTCCTCACAACAAGCTCTTGCTACAACAACAAAAAAATGTGAGCCTTACATATTTGTACAGAAAACACCCAATTGGATTAGATGCATATGATATGTTGTACTACAAAGGCTTTCCAACACAGACCTGTATTCCTCCGGAGTGCCAGGAGCAGATTTCTTATTATGCTTTGATCTCATCTTAAGTGCCAGTGACACGATTTTTTTTTTCCTGACTGAAATCTAATTACTAGTAGGGCTGGCAGGATTTCATCTTGTACCTATCTACACTGCAGTTATAGAAAAAAAATATATAAATATATATTTTTTAATTATCTTGTCTTTGAGAGAAGGAACTCTTAAAAGAAGAAACAATCATCTTGGCAGATGGGTAATGTGAGAAGTCTATAAACATTGTTCCTGATGGATTGCATGACATTCCCCCAAATACTCATGGATGAAATTTTTCACCTTAGGTGTGCAGAAGGCTATTTTGGACAACCTTCTGTACCTGGAGGATCATGTCAGCCATGCCAGTGCAATGACAACCTTGACTTCTCCATTCCTGGCAGCTGTGACAGCTTGTCTGGCTCCTGTCTGATATGTAAGCCAGGTATAACAGGACGGTATTGTGAGCTCTGTGCTGATGGATATTTTGGAGACGCAGTTGATGCAAAGAACTGTCAGCGTAAGTCCTGAACTATTGATGTCCCTGACAGAATTGATGCATTTTACCTCAAAGTAGGACATTTCTTTGAAATAAATTTATTTGCTCACATTATTTCATTAGTACCTGTCAGTGGGCAATAATGTGTTACACTTTGATATGTGTACTTTGCATTCTTGTATTTCATAACAGGTGTAAGCATTCTGTCAATAATTTTGCAAACTGACATTATAATTGTGTGATTAATCTGCACCTTTGGCATATTCACAGAATATTATTCCTATGTTTTCTTTCCCTAATATTAACTATCATAAGGCAACATCATGGTTAGTAGATTCCTCCCCTCATCTTCATTCTCTTACAAATGTATTTTTCAGTGTTGCATAGAATTTACTAATCCTGGTGATGCAGTGCCAAAAGCTTTTGACTGCTAATGAGAAGGTTGGTTTAAACCCACCAGCTGCTCCATGGAAGGAAGATGAGGGAATCTACTTCCATAAAGATTTACCATCTCAGAAACCCAATAGGGATTGCTATGAGTCAGAATCAACTTGAGGGCAGTGAGAGTTTGAGTTTCATGTTTGTGATAATATGGAAAGGAGATCTTGTTGTGGAGAGTCAAATGGAATGTGAGTCCACATTAGCTCACGAGTGCTGTATGCTCCCAATAGCAGATCATCTGCTGTTATTATCTCTAGTCAAAGCAGTTTATGAGACCACTCAGCAGTTTATTTCTGTCAAACTCCTTATGTAAGATGGAGCTCTTTGAAGTATCTAGTTGTATCCAAGGGCATGCAGAATTGTAGAAAATGTTAAAAATGCAGTCTCTCTCTAGTCTCTGTTGCAAGCACTAGGATCTGATAGAATATCACATTTCAATAAGAAATGTGTCTCTCTTCTCATAGGGAGTTTAGGACATTCTTTCATTCAAAATTCATTCAGGACCTATACTTGCTAATGATGTGACCCAAGACAAAATATTTGACTTCATGGAGACTTAGTTTTCTCTCTATAAAAAAAAGGTCATTAATTTTCCCTGGAAATTAAAGGATCTAGCACATAAATTGGACACTAATGATGAAAGGCTAGACAAGTTTTGGGATGACATCAAGGACCTCATACCTGAAGAAAACAAAAGGTCATTTGAAAGACAAGAAAGAAAGAAAAGACCAAATTGGATGTTAGAAGAGACTCTGAAACTTGGTCTTAAATGTAGAGTAGCTAAAGCGAGTGGAAGAAATTATGATGTAAAAGATCTGAACAGACGACTTCCAAGGATGGCTCATGAAGACAAAGTAAAGTATTTTAATGAAATATGCAAAGACTTGGAGATAGAAAACTAAAAGATAAGAACACACTCAACTTTTCTCAACCTGAAAGAAATGAATAAAAAATCAAATCTCAAGTTGGAATAGTGAAGGATTTTATTGGCAAAATAATGACTGATCCAGGAAGCAACAAGACAAGATGGAAAGCAAACAGAGTCACTGTTCCAAAAGAAATGGTCAAAGTTCAAGCATTTCAGGGTATAGCATATGATCCAAGATGATTGCATTGAAGGAAGAAGTCTAAGCTGCAATGAAAGCACTGGTGGGAAACAAGGTTCCAGGAATTTATGGAATACCAATGAAGATGTTTCAATGAACGGAAACTCTCACTCATCTATACCAAGAAATAAGAAAATAGCTACCAGGCTAACTGAATGGAGGAAATCCATATATGTGCTCATTTCTGTGAAAGGTGATCCAATGGAATGTGGAAATTATTAAACAATATCGTTAATATCAAACAAAAGTAAAATTTTGCTGGAAGAAAAATCAAGCAGTTTTTAGAAAAGCAGAATTGGCAAGTAGGATCTGGATCTGGATGAACAGGATAATAGAATAGGCTGATGAAGTAGTTATTTATAATGTATTTATAAGCTGTAAGGAGCTCTGGTGGTGTAGTGGTTAAAGCATTTTGCTAACCAAAAGGCCAGTGGTTTAAATCATCAGAACAAAGATGAGGCAGTCTGCTTCGGTAAAGATTCATAGCCTTGGAAACCCAACGGGGGTGTTGAATCAAATATTTGATTCAACTGTGTTGCCCTTCATGCCTTAAGACACTGCACTGCCCTCAGCGTGGTGTGAATCTTGACATTCCTCCCTTCGGGGTGATAGATTTGCACTCACTCTTTCATAGAAATCGGTTTTATGGGTGACAACAACTTTTAAGCAGAAGCAGGGATTTCTTAGATGTTATGAGTTAGAATCAACTCAGTGGCAGTGAATTTTTTTTATAAGCTATTCTGAAATCAAAATATTCAGACATTAAACAAGATTTACCAAAACCATCTAAGAACAGTCTAAATCCCTATGTAATCTTCCCTTCATATTTTTATTCTGGTATTATAAAAAAAAAACAACTCACTGTCATTGAGTCATTTCTGACTCATAGTGACCTCCATTGGGCTTTTGAGGCTGTAAATCTTTACAGAAATAGATAGCCCAGTGTTTCTTATGCACAGCAGCTGGTGGGTTTGAACCACTGACCTTCCAGTTAGCAGTCAAGTTATCCACTACATTGCCAGAGCTCCTTACCATAATTATATATACCACTAAAATATCCTTGTAGAGTACAGAGTAAGCCATTAATTACTGTTGTATTTCCAAACAAAACCTTTAAGTTTTAGGGTGATTTGTTATATTTCAGAATAATAAATTCATAACAGAAAAATGAAAAAAAAAATACTTAAACCAAATATAGTTTCTGTCTTTGGAGATAGTGTATAAATTTTTAAATAAGATATTTTTTCCCCTCAAATTCTAATGCTATATTCCTAATACATTAGAAAATATGTGTTTGTTAATTTACATATTTTTCTAATTTTAAAGGTATATAGATTGTATATATAAAAAAACTAAAATATATATTGAAAAAATAATTGTATGTGCTTTGTTTATAATGGTACTAATATTCTGTTACGAGTTATGATCATTTTGATAATTTCTCAAAATTTTGATTGTCTTACAATACAATTATAATATTTCAAATTTGACTCCAATGTTTTAAACAGTGAAACAGCTTGAGGCACAAAGGAAAGAACCGTGACCTAGAGTCAGGGATGGGTTCCAGACTCAGATAGATCACCTACTAAACATCGTTGTTACTGTTAGGTGCTATCAAGTTGGTGCTGACTCATAGCAACCCTATGTACAGGAGGACAAAACATTGCCCAGATGTAGCTTTGTATAAATGACAATGGTGGCTGCTTTGAACTGAGTGTACTTATTCTCGTAACTGGAATCGTGATGTTACTATTTGAATAGCATTCAGTGATGCTAAAACTTTTAATGAGTTATGTCTATGGCCTGTAGAGTTGTTGTAAGGATCAAATGATAGAATGACAAACAGAACACTTAGCAAAGCAGAAAATATGAGTGTGAATGTTATATTTGGAGTATGTTATCATTGAACAAACCTGTTAAGATGATTAGGACATTTTTCCTGACCACAGAACTCTGTCCTCTTTGCAGCTTGTCGCTGTAATGTCAATGGCTCGTTCTCTGAGGTGTGTCATGCTCGGACAGGACAATGTGAATGCAGACCTAACGTGCAAGGACAGAAGTGCGATGAGTGTAAGGTATGGCGGAGGAGCTGACCTGGAACTATCTCCTCCTTGAAATAATGTTTAACTTCAGATGACATGTTTTATATGCCTGAGTATATTGAAAGCAGGGTGAAGAATTCCCTAACTTTACATGTAAAACTACGGTGGTCAGTGAAATGCTTTTGTTCTTTTTTTAAAAAAAAATTTTCAAAATAGAGCAAAACTTGCTGCATATTAACATTTGACCTTTAACCTACATTTCCTTGGCAATGAATTTGAATATTGGCTGTAATTCGTATATTTCTCAAGGAAGGAACATATGAACTTAGTCCTGTTCTATGGAAAGTAAAACGCTCTTTTGTTGGCCTTTACGTGCTTGGTGGATTCAATTGTTTCTCCCCTTGTTTCCAGCAAGCATTTTCTTCTAGTTCCATCTTCCAAAAATTAGTTCCAATGAGTCTTCTACTTAAGAAAAGTTTTAATGAAGAAGCTGGTCAAGATATTTTTGGATACATCATTTTGCTAAAATGAAATATTTGATTCAACTGTGTTGCCCTTCATGTCTTAAGACGCTGCACTGCCCTCAGCGTGGTGTGAATCTTGACATTCCTGCCTTCGAGGTGATAGATTTGCACTCACTCTTTCATAGAAATCGGTTTTATGGGTGACGACAACTTTTAAGCAGAAGCAAGGATTTCTTAGATGTTAAACTAGCCTTTCTGTAGGCAAATTACAAAATATCAACTTCTACCTCTTGAATAATATCTTATGTTCTTTTTCTTCTTTCCATTTTTCTATTGGCTTTTAAAGCTCAGTATGCACTGGGACCGAGAGAAGCAATTCTGTGTGTTATGTGACTGCAATCCTGTTGGCTCTGTGTCACCACAATGCGATATAAAAGGACAATGTGTCTGTAGATCAGGCTTCGTAGGCAAACTATGCAACCTTGGCAGGCAGGTGCACCGACAGCAGGAGCAGCCACAGAAAGCCCAACGAGTGCTGGGGCCTCCCCAGAGATGGGGTTTCAGCAGCTCCAGCGGGTGCCCACGGGGAGCCTACCGGGCCCCAGCTCCGGTAATCCCAGAGGCACTGCATGGTTTGTGCTTCAGCATGTTGTGTTCAGTGTGCAGCGGCTGACGTTCCCTTGTGGCACTTTACCAGACGATGGTTGCTAAGTGTGCAAATTGCAAATGCAAAAATTAGACCATCTGATTGAAGCTTTGCCTTTTAAAAATAGTTCTCCTTATGCTTTAAAGAGTATTCAATTTATAGCTTCATAAAAGTTTCAATTAACCATTGATTTGTATAAATCAAATAAAAATTTATGTAGGAACATATATTTTTAGAAGTGGAAGGGTCCTCAAGCATCATTTGGAGCAAACTCATTTATCTGAATGAACATTTGTTCATGCAAAGAAAGTGACTTGCCCAAGACAATTCAGCCCATTGATCACAGCTGTGTGTCTCTACAATTGCTTTTATGAGTTTTTCACTTTCTTCATCTCATTTCTCTTCACCATTTAGACATTCTCCACTTACTCTATATTTTCACATTACTGCCTGGAATTGTATCATACTTAATGAGCTGGTAAATTTCCACATCATAATTTTGCTCCTGTAGACATGTGGAAGTCTGGTGGTTCAATGGTTAATGCTTGTCTGCTAAACCAGAAAGTCAACAGTTTGAACCTGCTAAGTATTCCATGGGAGAAAGGTGTGGTAGTCTGGATCTGTAAAGATTTACAACCTTAGAAACCTCATGGGGCAGTTGTGCTCTGTCTTACAGCATCGCTATGAGTTGGAATCTGGTCAGTGGCATTGGGTTTGTTTTTTCTTTGTTATACAATGCAGGAAACACATTTTCACACACTATAAATGTACAACATACACATGGTAAGGAAGGTTGTTTTCTACTACAAGAAAAGGAGGCTAGAATACTTGCAGTTTGGCTCCCTTCACACAGGCATAAAATAAAATAAAAATAAAATAATAACAATAATCCTTGCAAAGACCAGACAGGAAGAAAAGGAGGGGAGGGAAAACAAAGAAGGAGAGAGGTCCTTAGCTGAGTTGCAGAATAAGAAAGGACAAGATTTGTCAGTATAGAATCAGTCTGTGGCGAGGTAGGGAAAGGAGTTAGGAGAAGGTGAGAATGAAGGAAATAACAAAGGAAAAGAAAAAATCATGTTTTCATTTCTTGACTCAATGTTACATATTTTAAGAAAATATGTTTTGATATCAGACTGCATTGAATCAAATCCCAGATTCAGTTGTTCCTAGCTATAACAAAACTTATAAAAATTGTTCTCTGTAATTCAACTTCTCTACGGGACTCATTTCAATAGGTGTGCATCTGTTTTGGTCCTTTGGCAAGCAAGGGTAAGGAGGTTACGAGGGGAAATGTCTGTGAGGGATGAAAGGAGAGGCATCAGGAGTAGATAGGGAAAGGCTCTGTCTGTGATGAAAGTTTCATTCTTGTGAACGGAGAGTGGAAAAGTAGGGTGGGTAGTATAGAAAGAGACTTATATAGTGCATTCTGCTAAAATCTTGAAATCTTAACCAGACTGATGAGAAGCACCATAATAGAATTCGCCTTTAAGAAGAATTCTTCATTGGGCATGAAAATTCCAGTTCTTTGCGTATCAGTCATTTGCTAGGAGAAACGTGGCTTCATTCGTGCTCCTCCAATGGGGCAATCTACTTCCGTAGTGATACTGCCTCGGCAACCCAAGGAGGAGTCACTATGAGTCAGGTCTGACTCGACATCACATGACAACAACAACAATAACAAATAAGTCCAAAGGGGTGAAGCTGCAGGTTGTTAATCATATGCTCTCCCCACAGCAGGTTCTCCTGCAGGGAGATCTATGGTGGTATCTCTAGGGATGTCTCAGAGTAGTAGTGGGAATAGTGTATAAAACAGGTGCATGGAGTATACCCAAGACCATGTAAAGTGTTGGCAGACAATTGTTCTACAAGTGTATTTGTATGTTCTGTAAGAATTCCCGGGTGTATCTTAGAGCTGACAAGGGACAAGATTATAGTCACTTCTTGGTCACAGCTAAAGGGAGTGAGTAGTTTAATCTGTGGGCTTGGGACCATAGTCACAGGGGACATCAAGCTCAATTGGCATAACATACTATATAAAACATCCTACTTTGGCAAATAGTGACTGGGATCTTAAAAGCTTACAAGCAGCTATCTAGATACAATGATGGGTCTCTCCTCGTCCAGAGCAAAAAGAATGAAGAAAACCAAATATTCTTGGAAATAATTAGTCCTAGTGACTGGTACACCATGTGATCCTCAGCCTGTATGACTATGAGACCAGAAGAATTGGATGGTGCCTGGCTACCACTGTCAACCACTCAGAGGAACATCTATGTAGGAAATCCTGGAAAGAGAAATATGGAACAAAACTCAAAATCATTTGAAAAAATAAATAAGTAAAGGGGACTGGGTTTGCTGGTTTGCTGGTCTGACAGAGCCTGGTGGAACCACTGAGACTATGTTGCCTAGCTGCCCTTCAGGTCTGGAATTGAGTCCACACCTGTGGCTTCCAGACAAACAAAAGACAGACATATGAGTTGAACATTTATCTGAGCTAGATACACTCCTTGGAGAGAACAATCTTGGAAGAAAGAAGGGCTGTTTATGCACAGGGAGACAGTTCAGGGGTCAGGAGTGCATGGAGGTATGGACACAGGGAAGAGGTAATTTTTGTTTTTTAATAGAATGAAAAAAAATGCACATGAAAAGTTATTAGTAAATATATATATATATAAACTCATTGCCATCGCGTCAGATCTGACTCATAGAGACCCCTCCTTGGTAGTATCAGTACAGAAGTAGATTGCTCAGTCTTCCCCTGAGGAGTGTCTGGTCGGTTTGAACCCCCAGCCTCCTGGTTAACAGTCAAATGCCTTAGGCACTATGCCACCAGAGCTCCCTAGTAAACATTCGGTATTACTATTATTAATATTGTTATTAAATGAAAATATTTGAAAATAGAGTGTTTCTCTTAAAACAACACATGAATTTAAGGTAAAAAAGAGTTGTGATCATTGATAAAAATGTTTCCAAAGAATGAAAATAGCAGAAAATAGACCCTCATTAAAGCTACCCTCATTTTTCCTACTGTTGTACAAAATACTATTTTGTCCTGATACTCTTTTTATCCCAGGGAAGTATCTATAACAAAGGCCACAGCCTTTGAAGCCAAGATGGCTGATTTGGAATTATAACTCTACAACTGGCTAATTGAATAAAGTAGGCAACTTACCTAACCTTTCTCTGCCTCAGTTTTACCCCTCTGTAAAATTGTGATGATAATAATTCGGAGCTCACGGGGTAGTCTTCAGGATTAAATGAGTTCATATTTGTAAAGAGCTTTAGAACAGTGCTTGGCATACATACAGTAAGCACTAGAAAGTGCTAGTTCTTATTAGTAGGCCCAGTAAGAAGAACTTACGTGAGGCCTTCAAGCTTCCTGCTTGACTGGCACTGACACCTCATTAATATTACTGACTGATTTCTGCCACTTCAATTTGTTTGTTGTTGTTTTGTGCCCTCGAGTCAGACCCGACTCATAGCAACCCCTTCTTGGGTTTCCGAGGCGGTATCACTACGGAAGTAGATTGCCCACCTTCCTTCCGAGGAGTGGCTCGTGTTTGTTTACTAGGTGCATTTTCCATAACTTCCAAAATACATTTCTGAAGACCAAATATATTAAAATTTTTAATTTTATTGTAGTATATATTTTATTTTAACCAGCTTTCAAAACAATGTTATTTAAGTATTTGAAACGTATGATAGAGACTTTTCCTCTTACATGTTTCCTACATAATTTAATTTGGATTTTTAAAAATGATAACTGTGATTTAGAAGTTACTTTAATAGTTTATTTATTTATGGATATATATATATATATATGCTTAGTGAAGAAATTCAGGAAATAAAGACTAGTGCAAAGTGGTATTTAGAAATCAGATTGAAAAGAAAACAGTTTTAACGTATTATGTTCTAATCATTTTTCCATTTACATATGTTTCTATTTGTGTGTCTGTGGTTTTTTTGTTTTTATAGGTATGTAATTGGAATCATAGTGCTTATGTAATATTGTATTCTGCTTTTAAAATTTTTACTTACTGCTATATCCTAAGCATACTTATATCATTAAAACTATTTTAAAACAGGATTTTAATGATTGTGTATCATTTCATAGCATGAATATATAAGAATTTATTCAACTATAATTCTAACGGTGTCCATGTAAGTGTCCCTACAGTTACTGTGATAAGTATTTCTGCTGTGAGCATGCTTGTGTATTAACCTCTGTCCCAATTTCTAATTATTTCTCTAGGACAGGTATCTAGAATTTACTTTGGTTTCCATTATATGAATAATAATATTATATGCTTTAATTTTGCTTTATATAGCTGAACTTCATTTCACAACAATATATTAGGGAATTTGTTACAACACTTACATAATTTCTTATTTTATCATGTAATGAAATCTGCATTAGAATTAGAAATGAAAATAAGTCAGCGGTAAATACAAAAATTGAATAATTATAAAACTCAATCAACCCACTTTCATTTTTAAAATAAAACTATTTTTAGCAACAGTCATTATAAAAGACTAATTCTGAGTGTGATTTTAGTTTCTATAACTTATTTTTAATAATTAAAATTAATGACAAGCACATAATGATGCTTATTCATGTCTCTTTGGGTGGCTTATCTTAAGAGGCAAGATTCATTTTTCCCATAAAGTAATTATTAAATCTAATTTTCTAAAAAAAGGATTATTTTTATAAAGAAATAATTACTAAGACCAATTTTTTCAGCTTAAAATATCATAATAATGTGGCATACTTTTTATTTGAAAAGACAATCTTGACATACTTTACATAAAATATAAGCTTTTTATTGTTCTAGTAGAAGTGATTTTTAATCCATCAGCATTTTTGAACATAGGTCACTCTAGGCCTAATAACATGTATGTCCAGAGTCAGCGACAGGTAGTAATGCAAATATGACTATAGAAGACTCAGACCCAAAACCAAACTCACTGCTATCGAGTCCATTCTGATTCATAGCAACCCCAGTTGGGTTTCCCAGGCTGTAAATCTTTAAAGAAGTAGATTGCCCCATCATCCTTCTAAAGAGCAGCTGATGGGTTTGAACTGCCAACCTTCTGGTTAACAGTCAGATGTCTTAAGCACTATACCTCCAGAACTTCTTTATTGATGATAACTTGTTACAAATAGATAAGAAATATACGTAAGAGGAAGTCATTAGAGAATGAAAGTCTCTCTTCATCTAGCTCAATCTAGTGCTTTCTACACAGTCTCAAAAATCAAATTGAACTGTTAGGAGTAAACTCACAAAATATTAGATGTTTGTGTAACCAAATGTTTTGTCAGAGTAGGCATAAGCTGTGATTTACATTTTTAGTGTGAATCCTATAATAATTACTAGAATTATTTATGGGTATATAAAAAAAAAGGTAAAATATTAGGGGAAAAAATATTTTAATTTTAAGCTATTGGTTAATAATATTGAAAGCATTTTTACCATGTTTAAAGAGTATCTATGATTTAAAAAACTCAATGCAGATTATTAAGACTGAAGCAAATAATATTTTCAATTAAAACTGGAATTACCACTTATAGCTTATTTCCACATTGCTGATAGAACTTTGAGAAGTATAAGGAGATGCTAGGGAAAATGTAACAGAAGGAATGATAATACCCTAATTCTGTCATTTAGTCCTGATGGAATTTCAAAGTAATTTGAAATTTTTTTGAACCCAGTAGAAAAGTCCATTAGATTAATTGACAAGTCAAATTTGATAACCTCAAAGAAGAACCATGATAACACGTAGATATCTCTTTTTCTGCCTGATCTTTTAGTGTTGTGCATTGTGTTTCACTGCTAATTAATTGATTTAGATGTAATTTTTCTCATCCTCTTCTAAACCAGCCTGAAACTTTCGGCCTACAATCAGCAAGGGGATGTATTCCCTGTAACTGCAATTCCTTTGGGTCTAAATCTTTCGACTGTGAAGAAAATGGACAATGCTGGTGTCAGCCAGGAGTAACCGGAAAGAAGTGTGACCATTGTGCCCGTGGCTATTTCAGATTCCAAGAAGGAGGATGCACAGGTCTGTAAATAAGATTTACTGCCTACCTACTCCTCCTCTACTTTGGTGTTTTGTCTTCTGTAATAATTTGGTCTTCAGGGTTCTGATCAGCTAAAGGAAATGAACACAGATAACAAATGTATGACATAAAATATTACCTTGATATGTACAAATGCAACACAATGCAACTTGAAACAGTGCCTTATAAATAACTGGTTGCAAGTATTCAAAACTCTGACAAAATTCATCAGCAAATCCTAATTCCATATTCTTTACTCTGTGTGATCTCAATTCAGCCAGTCCCTCAAGGTGGCTACAGCTTGAAAGGCAAATGTTCCTTTTTTCCAGGCACCAGAGTTAGCTTAAACTCTATTCCTAAACTGACACCTTTTGAAAAAAAATAGGTACAAGGAACACAGATGTTTTTGTTTGTTTGTTTCTGGTCCCCCAAACAATGTTTTCATCTGTTTATAAGAACCTTGACACAGGTTGTTAGTTCATGAGAAAATGTAAGTGAGGGTCTCTCACCATGATTGCCTTAACTGTGTTCTCAGATGTCCAGGCCCAGCCTTCCCACAAATCTTGAATGAAGAAAATAGGATACAGTACATTATAGATAAAAGTAAAGATTGAACACTAGCCTTAATGTGTATGCCACTAACTTGGAATTAGCCCTTATTCTGACAATCACTAGGTTGAGTATGAGCTTTGCTTACTACACTTACTGATTCAGCACTGATGATTCTCCTATATCCTCAGCACCATGATAAAAACCAGGATATTAAGATTATAAGACATTTTTGGTGACTATCGTAGCAAATTTATATCAGAAGCCCCAAGAATAGTACTTAAAATGATTTGAAGAACCAATACCTTTCTGATATTCTCAAACACTTTAGACACAATTTTTATCATAAAGTAACATTACAAATTATTCCATGTTATAATCATAGATCTTTCCAGACTATATTTGTAATCATTAATTCAATATTTCTACATACTAAAAATTTACAAAGTTGCATTTAAAAATATACTATGTTCTGATCTTTAAATCCAATTCTCATTAATATTTTCAGTTAATATGAATTAATGAGATGAAACATGACATTTAAATAACATCTAGTACCAGAAATTATAAATGGGACTAAGAATATTATTTAAAATTATGCAACAGTGATAACATGGAGACTTAGTAAGCATTCTAACCCAGAGAAAGAGATCAGGGGGAAAAATGGACAAAACAAGTAGGATGCACTGGGGTTGAGACCTTGACTTAAGACAGAAAACCTGGCTTTTTCTAGTGGCTCTACCAGTCATGGTTATGTGACCTTGACTGAGTGACTTAGCTTTGCTCTCCCTCTGCAAAATGCATCTACTAAATTGAGTATCTACTGCACATGATTTTGTGAGAATTAGTTGAATTAATGACTATAATATATTTAGGAGAGTGCTTGGCACATTAGTGTTATGTAAGTGTTTATCATTATTATTATTTCTTTATTAGTATTATTAATTATAGTAAATATTCTATCTTTTGGCAGAAAGTAACTAGCTAATTAATCAGATCTTTTTCCCATTTGGTATTGTGATTCCACTAAAGAACTATTCAGAGAATTTCTATTTGCAAGTAATGATTTGAACTGTCCTAAGACCTTCCTCAGTGCATAAATTTAAATATAATGTTAACTATTTTTCTTCTTAATGAATGGTACATACAAAATAAATCCTTTGGCTTAAAATTAGCAATGATAATAATAATAACAAAAACAACAGCTACTGGCATTTATTTAGTGCTTACTCTGTGTCACCATTGTGGGAAACTAAACATTTTTCACAGCTGGCATGAAATGCTGTGAGCAGTGATAATCGTGATCTCTTAAAAAGCTAACTTAATCAAATATCCTAAATGTATTCAGCTAAAAAGATGTAATCATTATACACCAATCAAAAGGTTTTTTATGTCATTATTTGTCTATTTAAATTGAAGTACTTGGCATTTCTTCTCTTGCTATTTACTTCTTCGATGTCTACTGTTGCACTAAAACATACTCTCTTAATAGATGGTCAATTATAATGAATAAGTGAATTACACTCCTTGCGTGGCTTTGAATATCTCCTCAAACCTTACCAACACATCCTTTGAGGAAATGTAATGAATAGTGATGAATTTTGCACTCTTCCTATATCACAACATGTTAGAATAAATGAAGAACCTAATGGAAAGAAATGAGGCAGGTGTTAAATAAAACTCAATGAATGTCTTAACCTATTGACAGTGTCCATAACTTGGCTATTTTTTCATATTTGCAAAACTAAAATACCCTGATGTGTGCCATTTATAATTATATCCAGGATATTGAAATTTAGGAGCTCTGGTGGCACAGTGCCTAAGGCATTTGACTGCTAACCAGAAGGTTGGCAGTTCAAACTCACCAGCCACTCTGCAGAAGGAAGACTAGGCAATCTATTTCCATAAAGATTTACCACCTCGGAAACCCAGTACGGGTCCCTATGAGTTGGAATTGACTCCATGACAGTGGGTTTG